CATTTCTTCAAACAAGGCTAAAAACCTAATTTGTGTATTTCTGTGCACACAGACACACTGTATTACAGCAGAGCAGCATGAAATAGCTACTATTGAAAGAAACTGCCTACAGACGATTTCATTTTCCACAAATTTCAAATATTTCCTTTATTGAGTTGTTTAAACATGCTCAGTTTTTATTACTGATCAGCTCTCTAGGAAACAGGGAGGAGCGCGTTATAGCAAGAAAGGATATTAAAATGTAAATGTAAACTACAGTGTGTGTGTACTATGCACTTGTTTCTATAATATCTCAGGACTTGGAATAAATAGATGCTGATTAAAAAGTAACATAGATGCTGGTGATTAAATGTCAGATAATCAGTATCGGTGACTGGGCCTCGCTCTCTCATGGTAACATCAGCTTCTCTAATGTGGTCACATTTAGCTGCTGCTGCATTGGCTAGTGGTTCCACCATTACTCAGCCTAGTGTGACTCGCACTGAGCTGACGACATTACACCACTGGGCGGTTTGATGCTGCTGCAGTAAAGACACACTGAGCCTGACATCTCAGTCCGAGTGACGTCAGGGGGCAGATTTATAGGCAGAGGAAAGAACAGGCAGCACTGAGCAGTGATGAATCACATTTTACTACTAGTTCAGATTTTGTGAGAAATGAACACGGGTGATGTAACACATAACTCAGAGCTGTATAAACAGCAGGGAAACATGTACAGTCGTGAGAGAAAGTAGTGGCACTGTTTGCAGTTTTCTGGTTTTCGGCATAAATTGGCCATGAAATGTGATCTGATCTTCACCAAAGTCACAAATGTCAATAAACCCAATGTTTCTAAGCTGATAAAACACAAACAGTCATGATCTGCCATGTCATTTGTCACGTGACTCAAGTGTGCAGATGCTTGTCAGATAGTTGTCCACATTAAAATGGCATTCTGAAACTGGCAATTGATGAAAAAATATATTGAGTTTACATTTAATACAGTAAGAACAGAAATCATGTTTGTTCTGTTATTCTGTGGTACTGTGGGATATGCAGAGATTATTAAATAAATTAACAGAGCAGCAGAAAAGTAATGACAAAGTGTCAACAAATTTCTTAAGCAGCATGTGGGCGGCATAAGAACACCTGCTGAATGTACCACAAAGTTTTACATTAAACTAATTTAGACTTGAAATGAATGTGCCTCAGGAACAGTGTGAACAAGTGAATGTGCTTTAAAATGCACAAGCTACAGCAGCAGAGAGAGCCGGACCAGCAGTGCAGGAGCTAAAGACATCCATGAAGGGGCTACATTTGGTAGCAAGGAGAAATGTGATGCATTTCCAGAGACCCTAAAGGGACAGACATGCGTTACGCACACCCTCGTACATACGTGGACACAGACGAGGGAAGTGCATACCTTCTTATTCATACTTCAAATCGACCATGACTTGCCTCTTAGAGGCTACGTGTCCACTAAGGTCGAGTGACTAATCTTCATCATCTTCCAAGGTCCCTGAGGGTCCATGCTGACTCTGTGCAGACTTCTGCATGCAGGCTAAAAGTTGGTCTGTGCAGACGGTCCACACAGCAAAAGCACTGACTGCGCATGTACCACAGTGCTTGGAAACCATCGGCGTACGTGGGCAGAAGGCAGACCCTCAATTTGAAGTATGTACAGAAATGCGTGCATGCCCCTCGTCCGTGTCCGTGCGCGCAAAGCATGAATTTTCCTTAAGAGAAAACATTGAGCCATTACAGTGGAATAATTTTTGCTTCTTATCCTTCTGTAACTTTCTCTGGACTTTCTCAGGCGATCCAGCTTGGTCATTACAACTAAACTCTACTGGGGAGGAAAGTGAGTAACAAACTTTCTAAACTGTAATGTCCACACTTGGATGCAGATTGTGAATAGTTAATTAGTTGAGCTTTATTTATTCAGGAAGTTGCTTTGATATCAACATGTCTCTTATGAGAGGGACCTGAGAACACGTCTGTATATACATCTGAAACACATACACTACCTGTTGGACGTTTGGACACACCTTCACATTGAACTGAATGGGAAAGTGTGTCCAGACTTACAATATCACATAAAAACAGTTCACACACACAAAGCTACAAAAACAAACTAGTTTTCAAATCAACTGATAATAAGTCACAAGTGCCCATAAATAAGTGATGTCCTTCTATCTGTTGTTACATTCAGTATTTATATGTGTAGCTTTATTACAGAAATGTCACATAAAGTAACAACCAACAAGGAACAGCCTGCTCTGTGGAAGGAGAGGGAGGGTTAATGAAGTCTGTCTTAAAGCGCATACACACACAGACACACACACAGAGTGGCTCCTCGGTGGAGATTGTCTAGCTGAGTCTGGTGATAAGGATGAAGTTAATCTCTCCATTCCTGAGCTTTCCCATAAGGAAGATTCAGCCATCCATCTCCCTCCTCTAGAATTCTGATGTAAAATGATGCTGAACAGTTGAAACCACGCTGACCCATTTACAGAAAACAGCCTTATATGCATATTCTGAACTCATTTACTTTCTCACCAGGCTGGGATCAAAAATTGGTAGAAAAATACTTATAGTATTTTCAAGTTACTAAATGTCATAACAATTATCTAAAGTGTACTTTTTTCAGTTAAAATTTTCAAAAGTGTACTACCATGTAAAGACTGAACAAGTAAAGTTGTGCACACAAACACTGACACAAGTTTATCGCTGATTTGTGTTTTGTCCCACCAGAGCAGAGACAGAGAGAGGATTGTCGAGAAAACACATTATCGAAGGTAACACATACTGACACACAAAAAAACAACTTTAGACTTCAGTTGTTCGCTTACAACAAACCTTCATTTATCTCTACTCAGCGCTTCATTGTGTCAGTGGTTTCTACCTTCACTGTGTCTCAGGTCTGAAAGGCTCTCTACAACGGATGCAGCTGGAGTATGTAGATGTCGTTTTTGCCAACCGCCCAGACAGCAACACTCCCATGGAGGGTGAGTCAGCTGATCAACATTGAACTTTATACCTGAGTGACCAATAACACAGTTGTCATTAATGATGCCAAGCAAAGGGGTGGGGGACACTTCTTAGGGCCCTGATTTTGTGGCGGTGACCACTGCAAGCAGTGCTCCAACAGTTTGGTAATTTCCTGACCTTGAAATTTGCTTTAGTGCCAAAATATATGGTGTACAGGTGACAGGAGAGGTGCAGACAGACGGGAGGTTCAGTCAGATGAAGCAGTGTTATTTTGATTGTACTGTGACTTTGCATAAGTTTTGAGAATTTCAGATTCAAATGGAAATGCACATTATAACATTTTCATCCACTGCTGTTATGCAAATTTTCAAAGTGGGCACGTAAAGATAATTTGCTCCAGCTGGATGCCATTAAAACCACTGCAAAGAAGCTGGTGCAACAAGATGTTGTAAATCAAGACATTTATGTTTGTTTCCTTGTAACGTAACCCTCTCCTGATCATTCCAATCAGATCTGACCAGTTTTTAAAAACCAGATTGTTCTGGTTCTTGTTAGGGGATAAGAAGAGGGGTTGTTGAAATTAAATTCAGTGACCAGAGGGCAAATCAGAGTTAGAAAATGGTTTTGTTTTGCTCTGTGTTGTTCCCCTTCTTTACTGATGCATCTTTAATTATGTTTAGTAAGGCTGTCTCTTTAAATACCTACATGGTTTTCTATTCTTAAGTTTTAATATTACTTTTACTATTAATATGACTAACATTAGACTCATATGCCATTGATTTTGTATTTTCTAACTTTACCATAACAGTTGGTATATCACTGTTAGAGCTGAGTTTAGTTAAACAACTTTAAGGTACATTTCTATGTATTCTTTAGGTCAAACAAAGAAAGCTCTGTTTATATAATCCGGTGGAGCTGTGCAGGGAGAGATATTACACGGTCTTGAATTTTTTTTTTTTTTTTACCCCTGCTTAGTCAGCATACTGCAAAGTCAATTTACTTTTCCCTACCATCTGTTCATTTCCAATTCATTTCCTTCAGCTGTTAGTTCTGTTGGCCTTCCTTCCTCAGACTTGTTTTGTTCCTTCTTCTCTCTTTTGGAATACTGGGTGGAAATTTAGACAAGTAGAATTTAAATGTGAGTGCAGCGTGCTGCTGAAGACATAGTGAGCTGGAGAAGGGCGGGGAAAGGGGTGGAGAGGAGGACAGGAGTAACAAAAGATGGGAGAGAGACTGAGTTGTTTTCTTGTCTTAATACTGTGCTATTTCCCTTGGCAGGATGGTATTTAGTAAGGCATCTGTGTTTCAGGTTGTTAATTATCACTTTTCAAACTGAAGGAAAAACGAAAACCTGCTTTTTAGGTCTTCGTGATTACATATTATTGCGCCTATCTACTCCCTTTTTCCCTCCATCTACTTTTTCTTTGTGCACCTTTGTCTTCTTTGTCAGTATTTTGTCTGACCCTCTTATCCTTCAGATTTTGCCATCTTGCCAAGAACCAGTTATGAAGAGTGAAAATCAAGGGTCCTGCCAAAGTGACTGATTGCAGTATAATTGGAGTGAGAGGAGGGTGATGAGTCCTAATTTGAGTTTTCTTGGCCCTGACTGCTACTGGCTTGCCTAGTCAGCATTAAAAATGTAGTGGCTGGAATGTGATCAGAGGGGCTTCAGTGTGTGAGCTTGTTAGGTTGTCCTGAAAGTCATTAGTGATGGGTGATCAGCAGGTAAGATGGACTCCAGGAGGTGGGAGGCCTCTGCAGAGTGCAACATTTAAAAAAATAGTTCTTTCAAGGCCACAATATATCTGTTTTGTTTTGTTTCTTTTGTCTCAAGTTCTTTCTCTGTCTTTATTTCCTTTCTGGGTGGCATTCCTCTCTCTCAAGGTCTGTCAGTGAAACACATTTTTCTTAATTGACTGATATAATGTGGTCATTTGTTTATGTACCTTCAGAGATTGTTCGAGCCATGACCTACGTGATCAACCAGGGCATGGCGATGTACTGGGGGACGTCTCGTTGGACAGCCATGGAGATTATGGTAAGAAACAAAGCTTTTAGTGGGATAAGTAATAAAAGTAGGTCTTTAACCCAAGCTAAACATTCATTTCTGCTTTATTTTATGTTTTTTATAATTATTATTGTGCACAGTTTGCCACCCAGTTTCCCTGTGGGGATTAATAAAGTACTCTAATAATGATAAGCACTTTTAAGTATGTCACACACACGGAATTTGTCTTCAGTACAGAACCGAGGCAGCCATCTGTGGCACAAACTTGCACACACATACACACAGATGGTGGCACTGTCCCTGCAAGGCCACTGGGGACAACTCGGGGTTCAATGTCTTGCCCAAGGACACTTCGACATGTGAACTAAAGAGAACGGGAATCAAACCGCCGACCTTCCAGTTGGGGGATGACTGCTCTACCCCCTGAGCCACATCTGCCCCGTTATTACACTCTACACTCACCATCTGCTTTATTAGGTACACATGTACAATTGTATGCAATTCAGCGCGACCCTTCCACCTTAACATCTGTGTTTATGAAGCTCAGAATGTTTGTTTTTGGTGAAATTGTCATAAATATATCAATTCAATTATATGTTTATTATTGAGGTCACAGTTGAAGGTGGGGTTGTACTGGACTACATTATATTCAGAGGTGTCTCTATATTTTTGTCTTCCCCAGCTACATACATGAGAGGATCACAATATTAGGAACACTTCTGAATATGATGTAGTCCATTACGACACTAGCTTTAATTATGACTTCAATAATAAACACACAATTGTGTTGCATACAATTGTACAGGTGTTCCTAATAAAGTGGCCGGTCAGTGTATTTATCTAAGTCTGAAGTTAGGAATGAAATGTGTTTTTGTATTTATGTATTCTGTAGAAGGTTTCCTGCTGTTTTGGTAGCTTTTAGATTTCAGAGATTTAGATTTCATTTGTAGAAACTGGCTGGAAAACCTATCTGTCCTAAGTGATCCACAGAATAAACTGTCCAGGAAGATAAACCAAGTATGAAAAGCACCACCACCACTAGCTAGTAAAAGAGACAGAGAGATTGGAGGGAAATGGAAATAGGAAAACTGGAGTGTGTGAAGGAACAAAGATTTTTGAGGGAGTGCTCCAACAGAGGCATCGCTGTTTCCTCCAGCTTTGGTTCCTCTTTGTGTCAGAAAAAAATCTACCTCTCATTTCAGCTCTCGCTAATTTATATACTTGGGGTATGAAGATACGGCAGGGAGTTATTAAAAGAGCATATGCCTAAAGTGACACTCGATGACCTAATGCCCATTCTCTCATCTCTCTCTATTGTATCATCCTGCCTCCCCCTTTAAGTATAGCACGATGTGTTGACATGCTCTGTCTGTGATCACGGTGAAAAGGAGCAGATATCTTTGTAGAACACAGGCCCAGATGAAAGCCATGTAATTTAGATAGCATCAATAATGAAGGAGGGGTAAACACAGCTTCTCAGTGTATATAACAAGGCAGCAGTACAGTATTCATGCACACACATGTGGGCACGCTCACGTTGTTCACACAGGCTGGAGGAGCATGTCATGGGTTGCAGTACAAGAGGGCAACTTGTAATTTGCAAGTTGAATGATGCAGCCAACATTATCCTTGAGTTAGGCTGAACAGATTCCCCCTCTTACTGCTTTATCATCCTGACACATGTTCTACAGCAGGAAATTGTCAAAATAAAAGTGTTTGACGAAGCAACAAGTGCAGCATGTCTGTGTCCTCCGGTATTTATTCACAAAGGACACTTGGAAGAAGCAACAAGTGCAGCATGTCTGTGTCCTCTGGTATGTATTCACAAAGGACACTTGGAAATTCAGACAAGAAGGTATATGAGTAAATTTCACTATGATGCCTCAGGAGCTGCTGATATGGAATATTGATTAGATGACTTACTGTGAATTTGTGCCACACTACAACAAGCTGGTTAGTACCACTCCTCCCCTCTCTCGCCTGAGTTTATCCCTTTACAGTCTACCTCTGCTAACCTTAACTCTTTCTTTCTGTTCTTTTTTGTTTCGCTGTATTTTTTTTATTGTGCCTTTCATTTTTTCCCCCTCGCCAAAACAGAGCCAACATTGCATGACAGTTTATAGTGCATAGGAGGGAAATCGGAAAGATGTTATGATGCTACAATGAGGTCCAACAGTCATATCGCATCCCTTTTCTCTTCTTTTTATCAATAGGAGGCGTATTCGGTGGCAAGACAGTTTAATCTGATTCCTCCAGTGTGTGAGCAGGCAGAGTATCACCTCTTTCAGAGGGAGAAAGTAGAAGTGCAACTCCCTGAACTTTACCACAAGATAGGCAAGTATTTTGTGTGTGTGTTTGTTGTGACATACTAATAAATCACAGGCATGCCTGATGGTGAAATGTCACCATCTGTCTAGTGAAACATTCATATGTACATTTGGGGAGGACATTCTCACACCCACTTTGTCATAAAAAAGTATGAACGTCACTGATTTAACAGAAAAATCATCTCTTTCATTCATTGTTGCTCATTTCCTGCAGAGGTTTAATCATTCTATTTTACTTCTTTTATATTTTCACTTTTCTTGGCACTGTTCTCACGCATTGTTTCACACCTCTTCCTTCAATGCGTTTTACTAAAACACCTCCTGTTTAATTCCCTACGGTTCACTGACAATGATGATTAATGTAATGTAAAAGAAAAACACTAAATTGTCCTTTCCTCTGGTCAAATACTTGAAACTTTAGGCTTCTAAAAATCCTTTAGCTTAAACTGTCTGAGAGGGAAAGCCATCTCATAAGCCTGTGACAATGGGTCTCAAGTAGACACTGATTCATTTTCACTTCTTACTTACATACACACTTTCCCCTATTTTATCTATTCTTTTAGTTATTTCATCTTTCTTTCTTTTAACTTCTCTTTTCTCCCTCACTCATTAATTCAGTCTCCATGTTTTTGTCTCTCCTGACAGTCATATCAGTGGTTGAAGGAGAAAATAGTTAGTGAGGATGGACGGAAGCAGCAAGCCAAGCTGAAAGAGCTCAACCACATTGCAGAGAAACTGGGCTGTACTCTGCCTCAGCTGGCTGTGGGTAAGTTTTACCTGCCTGGGTGCGCTCTTATAACAAATACTACAGAAGCAGCCTTAAGCAGGGCTTATAACTGCTTGGGGCTGTCGGAGAGGAATCGTTTTAATGTAAGATGTGACAAATTCACAGCACCTGTGTCCACAGTGTCTGTGTTTACTTATTATCTGATTTCCCCCCCCAGCTTCCCAATGAGACATGAACACAAAACCTTTTCAGATCTGTTTGTGCTTTTAACTGCATCACTGTGCACTGAAAAAAATAACTGAGTTGCCTGGAGGAGAGAAGTAAATGCATTCAGAACTTAAAAAATCAGCGGTAAAAAAACGTGGCTGGCAGTAAAGATTACACAGAAGGACAAGCCTTGGGTTTGTCTTTTAACATTCTGTGATAAACTCTTCTGTTCTAACAGGAAGAACAAGTAGAGTAGACACTAATAAGCAGCAGGGCACCATCAAGTGGACCTGGTGTGATTATCAGTGTCTGTTTTTCAACAGCGTGGTGTCTAAGAAATGAAGGAGTGAGCTCAGTCCTTTTGGGAACATCCAACCCTGAACAGCTCACAGAAAACCTCGGGGCCATACAGGTGGGAACACACAGAAACTCATATCACACACTGCTGTTTTTACGCATCCTCCACTTCTATTGATTTCTAGATCAGAGACAATCCTGTTTCTTTGTGTTTTTTTTTTTTTGTCTCTGTCTCACTTCCTTCCAGGCATATTCAGTTTTGCTCTCTCTTTTGCCCAGGTCCTTCCTAAGATGACCTCTCATGTGGTGTCTGAAATTGACCACATCCTAGGCAACAGACCATATGGTAAGAGGGACTACCGCTCTTAGACTTGGCTGGTGGACTACCGAGAGGTTAGCTGTACCTACCTACTTAACCATACTGCTACCATGGAAACACTGTTCAATGTTCAAGTTCGTGGTTCTTTCCTTGGGCCCCACTCAGCTCCAGCCTACTTCAGCCTGGAACCAACAGCTTTGCTAAGCCCAGCATTGCATCTGCGTTTGAGACTCATCCTGCTCAGGTTCATCTCAGGTGCAGTCCAGCTCAGCTAAGAACCGCTTAACAAACAGTCTCAAATGCCATTAATCCATTTCAATAAATTAAACCTTTGTGTCAGCAATGGTTCATCTGAGATACAACTATGCAGAGCTTCGTCTAGCCTATGTTAGAGTTCAGATCCAATGACATTCTGACATCATTTAGACCACTACATCCTGAAGTGAATTGATGTTTTAACTTCAGTTATATAGCAAGGTACACAACTAGGGATATCCACATTCACACTAACGTACAGTTTGTACATGACCAGAAAGAAGCACTGCAGCAGTATTTCAAGTAAAAGTGCCTTTCTCAAGGGTATCTTCATAATAGTTGACAGCTTCATTACTTACTCACTTTTCCACTGACATCCTCCCAGTGCAGCTGGTGACTCAGACCCTCAAGATTCAAGCCTTCCTCTTTAATGTCCAGACTACCACCCACAACTAATTTAATTTGAGCAAACTATTCTTATTGAGCACATAATCTATTTATGACAATTACTGTACCACGGCTGAATACATCAGTCAGACAAGTTAGAGGTACCCCAGGAAAATGGACATACAGAAGCTTCGGTTGCATGAACACCCCCAGTCAGTTCATCAGTGCTTTTATTAAATTGTTATGCAGCGCAACAAACAAAATTACCATATGAGCTCAGTACTCTCATCTCTTGTGTCAGCAGTCCACACTCAAGTAATGGGATACAATGGCATGAATTGTGAGGTTTAGCAGTAATTAGGTGACCTGCTCAAAGCTCTTGAAAAAGGAGCTTTAGGAATTAGGCCTGAACAAGCCATATTAAATTAGTACAGAACAGTATTCAGTAGACATTATGGGCTAGCTGCAAATCCTGAGAGTATTACTCAACAGATGCATGTTGTCCCTGCTGTCATGTGCCTCTCTTTGCTTTTCTACAAAGCCCATAATTAAACAACAAAAAGGAGTTTGATCGAAAATACTGCAACCTTACCTACTGTCCGTGAGCGCCTGAAAACCAAAGGATTGCAGGACATGGTGTGAGTAGCAGTGGGGAGAGAGTGAAGCATGCCACCTCCATGTGGTCTTTTTAAGGAACTGCTGCTCTGCTACACTACATCATAGCAGACAGAAATAAGGTATTATTCTAAATAAAAGTGGACTTCTTGTCTCTTAGTTTGTGTTTTTTATGGAGACACTGGTCTCTTTTTCTGACTGTGAATTGAACCTGCATCGCTGATTGAATCCATGACCACAGCAGAAATGGACTTTAGCATAAGATAAATCTCTCTGTGGCTGATCATGGTTATAACTGCAGAAGCTGCTTGTTAATGGCACAACGTGGCACACGGTTGAGGTATTTGGGACATTTTGGAATATAGTTTTTGTTTGAAGATGTTACATGTACATAAAATGCATCAATTGTAACATAAGCTAAACTATGAAGTCTCTCTTACATATGAGGATTTTACTGTATGGCTGATATTTAAATAAGTTGTGCAGAGTTGCTCTGTTGCTCCTCTGCAGTGTTTGGATCCTGTCCTCATTCTCCAGCCTGACTTTACACTGTCACAGAATTCATGTATATCCTCTGAACTATTTCTAAGGAGTGAGAGTTTGTTTTATTTTTGCATTGTGAAGTCAAATTATAAACTCTGTAACAATAATGACATTATTTAAATAATGAGCTCCTGTTATGAGAAAGGAGTGCTGAGCTTTGCTTTGTCCACTAACTAGACATGGAAATGAGACTCTCTGTCCATGTTGCACATCTCATAAAGTTTACAGTCGTCACCTTCCTGCTTTGTTCTCGTCCTTTTTCATCTGGAAAACAAGCCACCACAGATATAAGCAGAAACGTTGGCCGTGTTCCAGCTGAGTCGCCGTCTCATCCTCAGTGCGCATTTGTTGCCCAAATGCAAGGAAATGTGAATAAATCTGATATCGCACATCAAAAGTGTTACTTTTGGTTTGCGTGCAAGTTCACATGTTGCGCATCAGATTGAGTCCGTGCTCAAGTCGGACTACAGCCTGCCCGCATGTGTGGAGCCTCCTCCAGTTAACAGAGTGCCTTGATGCAAGTCCTGCTACAGGAAGAAAATAAATAAATAAATCAGGGACGTCTTTCATAAGTTGCTGACTTGTGTTTGGATACTGTCCTACATCAGCATGTGAGAACAGTATTTATGCAGATTTTTTAATTTATTACATAGATCTACAGTACATGTTAACTTTTACTTAATTCATCTATACCAGTCATTTGCTCATCAAGGATCAGTTCTATCAAGGTGACTGAAACAGCCAGACTTTACCAGCTTCACAGATTCTGCCAGAAACTCTGTTTTCTCCAGAGGAAAACATGTAATACAATCTAAAGAAAGGGGAATTAATCTGTGGCTTGATTTTCAACTGTTATTCAGACCACATGAAAAGGCCCGCAGAGCCTTAGCCCAAGATTTTCTGTTCTGGTACAAATTCGGCCATGAAATTTGAGTGTAATCTATTCTAGATCAGTGCTATTTTCTACAACATGCAAAGCTGAAGATGGAAAGGACTTCTTTCTTTTAAATGACATGCAAACCATGAGTGTATTATTTACTCTCTTGAACTGTGGTTTCTCTGTAAATAGTCTGCACAAACCGTGTGATTATAAATAAATGCAATGCCAGTGGAAATGTCTCACTTTTGTTTAACTTTCGAAATAAGTATAAATCGACCATTAGGCAGGTGACTGTCAGTTATTTTCTTGTTCTAAATGGGCTGTGAAGCAGGTTGAACCACAAACATACTAGACCAACACAGAGGCCAATACCTGGTTTCTTTATTTGTTACAAAAAACTGACTACAGACCTGAAGAAACACCCTCCACACATTTGATCATGAATTTCATGAAGCTGAAATGGTAGGTTGATCCCCCTTGAAACCAATTCCTAGCCTAAAACACTTTAGACTTCTTGAACACAGTTCCTTCCCTCCAACCCAAACAACCCAATCCCACCCCATTATCCCCAGCTTCCTCCTTTACTTGGAGCCTGTGGACAGCAGAGCAATGAGTCCTGAGGAGGCACTTATGGATAGAAGGTAGTTGCTGGAAAAGAGATTAAGGCAAAAACACACTGAAAAAGAACAATGACACCATTTACTGAATTAAAATTCTAAATTTCAATATCACATTTTAAGAGGATTTTTCTGGAAGTGTGTCTAGTATCTGCTTCCTGTACATCAACAATGTGTCCTCTGTAAATCATTTCAAAGCTTTTAAACCTAATGTGCTCATACAACTCAACTGTATTACAACTAAATCAAACTGAGGTCAAACAAGTTTTCTCTCTATCCTGACTGGTGCCAAATGTCTGCACCAAGTAACATGTTATTCAAAGGATACACGGTGGGATTGAAGTTCTTGAGCAGGAAGAAGGAGGCAATGATGACAAGGACCAGGAAAAGTGTGTTGTTATAAAAGATGGAGAAGGTGGTGGCCTCATAGTCTGCAACCTCATTCTTCTTCCACAGGATCCTACACAGACAGGAAAAGGGACATTTCAATACCTTTCATGGTCTTAGGAATAGGTCTCATTAGGATTTTATTTCATTTTATTTTAATAATTCAGCACTGGTGCCTGTTTCATACTAGAATTCAGTATCCATGCCTAATGGTTATGTAAAAACATAGCTAAATATTTAACCTAGGCAGAGTTCGTACCAGTTGAACCAAGTAGGGCCATTAAAAAAAGACATCAACATAAGCACTGGCTTTCATGAATTCTGAATTTTCATCAAGAAGGATGTCAACACCACATTTGTGTTTTGTCTGCCACACTACGCTCAAAACCCCTGGGCCAATTAGTTGGCCAAAGCTAACTTTGAAGCCTCCAGCACAACACAATGTGTTGAGGTTTGGCTTTGCAAGGTGATGTACATCTTACCTTTCGTCTTTCTCTTTTCGAGACATTTTGCGGTTGTCTGCTTCAGACAGCTTCCTGGTTACCTCCTTGGAAACTGCGTCCTCACGTTTCTGGGCAACTCTGGAGGATAAACAGTGACAGGCAGCCTGTGTGAGATTTTTCTCAAACTTTAAAAAAAAAAAAAAAAAAAAAAAAAAAAAAAAAAAAAAAAAAAAAAAAAAAAAAAAAAAAAAAAAAAAAAAAAAAAAAAAAAAAACCTGTGTTGTTACAAGTTCACCTAAGAGATGTTCAAATGTAATGGCATTAATATTGCTTATTGTTGTCATACTCTGCCTGCACAAATATAACCAGTATCAAAGTTTCTCAAAATGGTATAAAAAAGTCAAAGTCAAAATCAATAATATTTATAGTAATTGTGTTGAATATCTGTTTCTCATAAATCTACCAGTGTCTAAGTGGCACAAGTGCACTTTTCTAACCCAACTCTTCCTGTGAAAAGGGAAGCAGCTGTAAAACCTGCAGAAGGGACACATGCAGTGTCTTTTCCATCTTACTTGTGTTTGAGAACAAACTTGACATTCTTGTAGGCAAAGGCCACCAGATAGGTGCTGACCAAAGTCATCATAGCATACAGAACGGCAGACTGAACAAGGTCCATGTGCCAGATCCTCCAAAACAACCCTGGAAAGAGTCAGTGACAAAGTTGAAAACACGTTCTAATCAACGGAAGCCTGTGACTGGCCTGAGACTGTTCAATGACCAAGATCTAAACATAATATTATTTTGCATTGAAATGGAAATGTATAATCAAATACCTAAATTAACCGCTTATTACTAGTGTCCTACGATGCACATAGACACCAACAGCAACTTAACCAAACTTAAGATTGATGGACAAGGTAACGTTAAGCTCGCGATAGCAGTCACATAATTATTGTTTACAGCATTTTATTATACTTCCATGTGTCTTTGAAACAGTATGTTCTGTTTAAGCTCATTGTAGCGGCTTTGACAATCTTTCAGCCAGTTTTCCCTGTTTTCCTCCTCTAATGAATCAGTGTTAACGTTAGCTAAGCTAATAGCACCAGCTAGCCTCTCCAGTACTCACAGATGGGGATGGCAGAGACGATGAGTGCATTTCCGTAAAACAGAGCGGTAGATTTTGCTGAAAGGTTTCTGCTGAAGTCCTGGAGGAGAAGGTCTTCCTCTGACTGCTGCTTGTTGCTGCTTTTTGGAGGCATGTCTGCGGACCTAGCTACCTGTCTGCTACTCAGCTTCGGACACAACAAGACTGACACGTCGGTGTAGGACAAGAAAAAGGACGCGTCAGCAAAACCCCGGAAATACGCGGACCTCTTCCTTCTTCTTCCTTAAAGAATAAGGGGACGATTTAGTTCGCTGCTGCCCTCTAAAGGAAGCCAACGAAACTGCAGCACACGCACAGAAAAGTAACAGGAAACCACAACAAATTTTTACTTTCCTCATTTGCTCAAAATTTTCTTGTTCTAAATCGTGGATCTCTTTCTATTTACCCTAATACAAGTTTGCTTTATTTGTGCCCCTCACTGAAACAGAAAGAAAGAAAGAAAGAAAGAAAGAAAGAAAGAAAGAAAGAAAGAAAGAAAGAAAGAAAGAAAGAAAGAAAGAAAGACACCCAGCACCCCAGATGTGTTATAGAAACCTGGGTAAAGAAAGTCTATAAGCATTAGATAGGTGAGAGACAACTTATGTAAATTGGGTGAACTGGTCCTTTATGTTTTGTCTACACTCTGCTAAGTTAACTGTCATTTCTTTTTCCATTTTTATTGTACATGTTTATGATCAGATACGCACTTTTCTACAGTAACACACTAACACACAGCAACAAAAATGTAAAACACAACAGGAAAATATTATACTTATTATACCATATCAAATACTACTCCCTACCAGTAATCAAAATACAACTCAAAGTCTGACAATGCTGTATCCATCCATCCATTTTCTTCTGCTGTATGAAAATATTATTGATTATATGAATATTATGAGGTGGTTTGAAGAAGTACTAAAAAAAGTCTTACTAGAGCAAATCCAGCCAAGTGCAGAGTTCAGCTACTTGCAAGATTCATGTTATGCCCACTAGAGGTCAATGTCTACATGTCTACATGTCTGTACATGTCACTTTAGGTATTCCGCTGTGAGGGCCTGGAAATGAGAGCAGCAGTACATCTGTATGTATTACACGAAGAGGATTATAAACAATAAGGAGAGTAGCGTTGTGGCTTCATAGTCTTTGTAGTGCAAGAAAAAAACAAGTATTATTTAGAGAAATTACATTGTGTGGAGAGGCAGATATCATTCAGTGGGGATAGATTTGAATTTTTTCTTGAGAAAATGAAATTTTGGCCCCAAACCAGAGGGCTGGAATGATATCTTTTGGAGACAGATATGGTGAGTGAACAATATTGCCCTCAAAATCACAACAACAAACAACACTCTTCATAAACAGGTAGTAAATAAGAATTCTCTCGACCCCCACAGACCCATGCCTCTGCCTGCTGTAGAAGTCTGGCATTCAGTTATCACCAGCAACGTTCACACACATTCATGATCCCATTTAAACCCTTTCTTCTACACATTCACATCGTCATCTGACAAACATGCCACAGTCCATGGTGTGCATGAGAGTGTGACTAAGCAGCTACAGATGCATAACCCATTAGTAGAGGATGAGCATCTGCAAAAGTCCGTGGTCTTTCTTATCTCATCATCCAAGCCCGTCACATGTCTGCCACTGGAGACATTTTAGGACTGCAGATAAACCAGACAGATATTTGGCCTGCTGCTGCTGCTGCTTCCACTGCAGTGCTTAATCCCCTGCTGAGCTGTTCTTTTTCTTTTTCTGTGTTTGCGGGAACAAGCACAGCATGTGTGTGTGACTGAGTGAGTGCATGGGTTTGTGTGTGTTAAGAATACAATATAGACAGGCTAGCATGCAAAGTCTTTTTGTCTTTAAATTGGGATAGATCTCAGGGATTAACCATGCACTTCAGGGGTGCAGGAAGGAGGCAAAGAGTAGGAGCAGGGGGGAGGAGGTGATGCCAACAGACCTGCCAACACATTGCCAGGCCAGACTGGGGATCTCTTTCTCTCTCTCTCTCTGTCTCGTGTGTGAGGGCCAGATTACTTTGGCTTTGGTGACACCGCAGACATAACCACATGGGCACATATATACTGACTAGCCACAGGCCACAGGGAATAAGAGGAACACACATACATACACACACTGGCGCTGAACTCCTTCAGGGCAGTTTGCTTGGCAGTGCTGGTACTGTATGTTTCAGCTTACTCCACTTGTACCCTAAGAGGTATTTATGACAGATCAACAATCACTGTGACAAATTCTTCTTGAGTTATATTTTCTCACTTACCAAAAGCTAAGCTCTAGAAGCCCTACATCTGCAAGCCACATATGTGTGTGTATTTTTGTGGTAATGATACTGTGTAAAAAGAACTTTATTGTGCTATTGGATTTCTAAAGTCTAAAAATGGACACAGAACTAAATAATTTTCCACAGTGTTAGATATTATGGAAGTACTCTGTCACTGTAAAAATAATTCACAAATGGTGTGTAGTATGACTGAGCGTGTGGTCACACATCATCCTCTGTCTTCTGACATGTAAAAGAGGAACAACATTTATTAATCATTTATTACAATCATGTGGTATGTATTCTTAATTTGGAGAGTGCAAAGATGGAGTTTCTGGGTTTTTTCCTCTTCTGAAAAAGCCTTCAGTTTCTCAAAGGAAAAGCGGGCGATCCACCACAAAGCTCTATGCTGCTAGATACAGCCAAAAAGGAATCGTTTGAGCTTGTGACTATAATGAAATGTGACAATCTACAAAATGTCTTCCTCATTGTTTTTTCCAAATAATGTTAATCTCATAAAAATATGGTTTTTGTCAATATTTGTCATTATTTTTTTAGTATGTTTTACCACTTTAAACAGTAGATGTGATAAAATGTGAGGCAATTTTAGCCTAGTGGCCACAGTCACATTGGTATGTCATGTGACACCCACTGTACTTTTCTGATACAACAATCATTGCAGAAGAAATGGTATAAACGCTTGTGTTCCAGAGGGTGTGTGCCTTAACATGTTGTTATGCAACTTCATGGAGGAATGGAGCATATGGATCAAAAATAGAAGAGGACAGAGCATTGCTTATCACCTTTTTCACTTACCTCAGGCCTCTCATAGTGCTATGATGATATCAAACATGACAGCAGTACTCTGTGTCAAGGGGAGAGTTGAATGGAGGCTGTAAAATGAAGGCGGAGGAAAGGGTAGAAAAGCAGAAGCACCTGCATGTTGGCACTTAGGGCACTGTGCAACTGTTTCAGGGTCTGGTGACATTTCTTAAATCATATCTTGTCACACCCAGCCTCTACCCCCCCACCCATAATGTCTCTCTCTTTCACAGACACTTGCTTGAACGTTGCGTGTGCTTCCCTGCTCTTATCTCATTTGTGTCCTGTGATTCATGTTCCCCTTTTGGCTCAAACGCAATGCAGGAGAATGTGATAGAGAAGGAGGGTGGGGAGTGGGGGTGAGGGGTGGGGATCCCTCAGAGATGTGAGGCGAGGAAAAGCAGTGAAATATTTGTCTTTTCAAAGGATGCCAGACATGTGTTTACACTTTCTGCCCACTTTCACCATAAATAGTCTCCTCACCCTGAGGGTTGTGCTCTTGCATGTGAATCTGCAAGCAGCCAGAAACCATATGACTGCGTGTGTGTGTGTGTGTGTGTGTGTGTCTGTGTGTGTGAAAGATGGCAAGACTCCACAGATCAGAACTAAGCTTTGATCTATTTTCTTTTTCTTATCATTTGTAGGGATCCAAACACAAACACCATAAATGTACAGATGAAACAGAAACAAAAGATGATTTACATGTTTTTATGACTATTAATTATAAGAATCCATACTCGTCTACATTTGGATTATTTTTAACAGATTTTTGCCTTGCGTAATGCATCACACATGCACACTTTACAAAAAATACTATACACATGTCACTGATAATACATTTACAAGAGCCTACACTGCAAAAATGACAAACCAAGTCATTTAATAATGTATTGACTAGCTTTACATTGTTCTGTGCAAGATTGTTTCAACATGTCTATTATCTGTTATTATTAATATTTATTGAAGTCTAGTTGTGGAAAATTCCTATAAGGTGAAACGACACTAGAATCTACAGGCAAATGCTGTAATGTGTTTACATCTAAGGTGATGTTCAGATTGAGTGCAGTAAAATGCAATTCCTTGCTGTGTTTTAACGCAGGGGGGCTTTGTTGGTTGGGGGGCGTGGGAGAGGGGGGTCACCAGGGGAGTTGTGATGAGTCAAAGTCAGTGGCTTCATTCATGTTTCCAGCCCCTACATTTCTGTTGTGTTTTGGTTAGCCATGCTGCTAATGTAGCCTACTCTATGTTAGCAGCAATTTCTACTGCCAGTGTGTCAGCACTGATAGATAGAAAACACAGTTTAACATCCAATACTCTAACAAAGAACAACGCATGTCATGTCATGATGGTGTGTTTGTAACTGTGGCTCAAAGTTGATAGTGAATAGCAGTGAAAGCTCATGCTAACAAGATAAACAAAAGTGTCTTGTTCCTGTGGGAATCCGCTTTCCAAGTGTTCCCACTATGTGATTGGTCAGCGCAGTGCCTTTGCTGGATGATGTCACCATGTGGTGCAGCAAAAGGTGAACCAAATCCAACTTTTTCACTGCATGGGGCTGCGTCGTTTTGGCATAGCCCCCCCCGTGCTGCTCATGCCAGTTGCAATGAATGGAGAGGGCTGCATTTTTCGCACCTTTGAAACTCTGTCTAATCGCAGACTATGGTAGAAACTGGGATTTGTATGAGCAGATTTTTTTTTCATTGTGTGTGTATGCTTCCCACAGTTATGGTACTGTTACTGCAGGTGTGATCAGACAAACAATATTTATCAGGTCATCTATACCCAGGTGTTGAAATTCATGATTATGGAGACTGCGATGACACAGCCTCAGCTTTCCCTAGCAGAATTAGGGTGACCTCCCCGGGCAGAGCTCAGTCCCAAAACAAATGCTCATGTGTTTCCATTCCTCCACTCCAATAAGCCACAGATTTCACAGTGTACTCACAGAGAAACAAATAGATAAGCTTGTTCTGCTCTGTTTTAATGTGCGCTTACAGAGAGAGTGCACGGTGGCCTGGTTCTGTGTTTAAAAGGCTGGATGAATTACTTGGAAATGTATTTTCTTCAAGCAATCCAATAATGAGAACGTTATACGCAGGACACTGTGTACATT